GTTGTGTGTCCTCGGGGCATCCGTTGCCAGGCATAATGCAGGGGCCTTCAATCAGAAGAGGGTTTTCAAGTTTACAGCAGCAGAATACAGGCAAATTTCACTAGTTCCTACCCTTTTGGAAGCCTCTCCCGAGATAAGCACCCGAACTCCACACTCTTAACCCCAAAATGCATCTTATCTCGAAAACGAATGCCTGAATCTTCAAGCCTGAATGCACTACACGCGCCTGGACACTCAACCCTCCATAGCCAGGCCTCCAGCTCCTTTTGCAAGGCTAGCCGGCGGGCTCTGTCGGCCTTGACCAGACAGGATCTAAGCGCTTGCGGCTAATTAACTTGTTGAACTGTTCACGGCATCTATGCAAACCGGCCACCCTAAACCACAATCCCCACTTCCCTTCCCCTACTCCACTCGAAGCACGCAGAGGAGCCTCGAAGTTGTGAGACTGGGCATCGTACTGCTGAGCCAGGGATGGCGGCCTTTGATCGAGCTATTTGGAAAAGCTCCCATCTCCCTAGAGAAGTGCACAAGTGGAGTTCATCCCTGCTTTTCGGGTTGATAGGGCTCAAGGTTTTTGACAGTAGGGATCCAGTACGCCACTGCCGGCCAGTCCACTCATGCCTTGGTGGCCGTAGTGCGTAGTGTAATGGATGCCGATGGTTGCCCCTAAACAATCCTTCAGAAGACTCCTTTTTGCAGCCCTGAAAGCCCTGAGTTAAGAAGGCGGTTAACTTCATGCAGTACTATTTGTGGATGGAGGAAAACTTGAGCCACTCTCTCTCTCAATATATATACTGCATGTATGCACCATGATGCCCTCTTCCACTGTACCTGGAACCAGAACTTCAAAGGCCAAACTGCTCGCTTAGAAAACAGGGGGCTTAAATCTTTAGAATACATTTCAGGGGCTTTTTCTGCTACAATGGAGGCTGCAGTATCTAGCGTCTAGGGTTTAGAAAACTATCTCAAGTCAGCACTGGGCTCTTGCGTCGCAAAGGGGTGCTTGATAAGCGGGGATTTCTCAGCTGTACTTTGCCTTGAGGGGAGCGGGGCACAAAAGCTAGGCCACAAGTGTTACTTGATCCGCACAAGCCAAGCAAGATCGAAGTGTAGGAATTCACTCTGAAAAACCGAACCGAAAAACACAGCCCATAACCTCGTACAAGAGTATGCTGTCCCTCCAAGCGCTGCTGTTTGTTTGACACTGCGCCTACATCAGGAACATGGAGAAACTATGTGAGGACTATGCTGAGGTGTGTGCGTAGGGACCATAGATTAAACTGGGTGACATGCAGGTCATGAGGGACAGATGCATGCCTTACAGTGTATGTTTACAGGAGCTTCCTCAACCTTTCTGAACCCCTAGCCTGTCATCGCCGCCCGGCGAAGCCATCACCCCAAGGCTGGACAAAGGGTGCAGAACTTACTCGTGCAAAGCAGTCATCCCATCCTCCAATTTTCTGAGCATGTGGATGATCATGATGATGACAACAATGAAGATTGCCAGAGTTCGAGTATGGCAATTGATGAGATATCCTACAGTTATGAAAAGACGCCTATTTTGATGTGATGGACGTACCGATCCACGGACTTTGGAGTCTGAACCTGCCCAAAATACAAGGGTTCGGGCGATGGGATCCAAACTGGCTGAAATGTGATCTAAGAAAGGGTGTAGGTGGGTTTGCATACGCGCAGTCTAACAGCTGCCTGACTCACGAGCCAGTGGCAAGCAACCATGTACTGCACTTCAAGTGACATGTCGAACGCCCACAGGGCTAGGCTGCCCCTTGCCCTTCATAATGGCAACACCATCTGTGGGTGCAGAGTCATTTTTCCCCGTGGCGACAGCAGGTTTGCCCAACATGCCGGGGCACACTGGCAAGAATGGATGTCGAACAAGCAGTGTTAAGTAGGGGAGGTTACCCTACAAACCAGAAGATCAGGGCTATTGCAATTAGCAAGCTTTAAAGATCTGAGTTTGGGTATACTACTGTTCCAGCGCTGTTTCTTCTGGCCCAACAATACACTTTAAGTTTGGGTCAGATCCCTATCATCCTTGCTTGAATACTAAGCCTCTTATGACTGAAGAAGGTCACCATGCGTTCGTAGAGCTTAGGCTCATAGGGCTGGCGCTGCAGAGGCCAGAAAGCTGGACCATCCGCAGCATAGTCTCTCACAGGAAAACAATGTCTTGCTGTGCTACCTTGTCAGGAAGGTTGGGTTTGCGTTGTTGTAGAGGCTTCGTGCCCCAACAGTACACAGTACATTCACTCACTCGGCGGCTGGGCTAGAACCAAGCTGTTTCCCGGCTCATAAAAAGTATAGTTAGTTGGCTGATATAATCTGCGTCTTTGCTGATAATGACACAGTGGCATTGCTCTAACCTATCACAACCCCCAAACGGAAACCCCAATTGTTGGGCAACGCTGGCAATGTCCGTGAGCCTGTTGTAACGTCATCCCTCTTCTGAGGATGCGAGCCGTTGTCAAAATCGCATGCCGCTACTTGCTTGATATGATATTCCAACAAAAACTGACAAGCAGAGCTCTTCAATCCACCGATTAGCAGCGAGCCGTTTTGGAGTTCTTCCCACCGCGTTCTTACAACCTAAAGCCTGATTCTGACAACTGCCCAAACACAAGCGACCTACTGACAGCGACATCGAGGTGGATCCGCATAGCCGGCCCCAGGGGAGAGCAATCTAAGCGGCTTAAAATTCAAAGTGATACGCTTGTCGCTCAGCCACTGAGATGCACTGCATCAAAACCCTGAAAAGATACGAATGCACACCTGACACCGTAACTTCATCCTTTTACGTCTAGGAAGAACAAGATTCTTCTGTGTGGCCCTTCCCTAAACTGAGACGGGGCCTCATATGACTTCCTGCTACAAAGATCAAAATTCGTCGGCAAGGGGCCCCTTGCAGGTTCCGAGAAGTCATGATCTACCTGACCTGCTAAACACACCAGCAGCTCTCACACCAGAAGACCCTAATCTTAAACCGGTCTTCCTCAATTCCCCTGAAGCCTACGCAGCAATTCCTAAACCCTAAGTCCTATCTTACATCAGACTTGCGATGCTTAGACAGGTCAGAAACGAGATCATATTGAAAAAGATCTTCGAACTTGGATTCTGCTATTACCAATGCTGTAGAAGTCCTGAATCTCCTAAACCCTAAATCCCAAACCCCAAATCCCAAACCCCAGGCCCGGAGCCCAGAACCCTCCGTCCCGGTAGGTGTTGAGAGCTGAACGAATCACACCTGTCGCCTGATATCACCCCAGGGTTGCGGTTTAGGCTTTCAAATTCTGGTTTAGGGTTGAGGGCTTGGGATTTGGGGTTACGTAAGGGTTTAGGCTTTGGGATTAATGGTTTGGGAGGGCTGTGTCTTCGGGGTTTGAAGTCTAGGGTTTAGCTGCATGTTCCAGAGAGTTGAGGCTTTAAGGCTTGAAGTTTGGGGCTCCCACCGCCCAGGCTCAACCCTGATCCTGCAATCACATATCCCCCTGCTCTCACGTCCGAGCTCTGTTTGGAGCTTCCGATAGTTCGTATACGTCCCTGAAGCTACATACAAGGGATGTCAGTTGGGCTCTGGTATTTCATCTGTTCCTCGGAGCTCAGGCCTAATTTGAATCTGTCACTTTGAAGCTGCAGTGAAATCTAGATCTTCAGTTCAACAGCATACGTATACTACCCCAATGCAGCCAGCTGTGAATGCTTGTTTTTGGTTCCTACAACACTGTTGTATATTAAAGAATATTGATAGCATCTTGTTATTGCTACAGCCAGCGGACCATGTTCAGCATTGTTTATCGTCAGAGAGAGGCCCTACTACTTGAAAGGGTTTCCGGTGCTGAAAATCTAGTCCCATTCCTGCAGTGTGTTACTCCAGTTTTGTGTGGTACGGCTATTCGTGGCTTGGCGGACGTTTATGGTAGGAATGTAAGAATTGCCAACATGCTTACCCAGTCCTGTATAGGGCTCTAGGGCTTCTTGCCGCGCCAAAGAGATCCCACACCCCAACCCTAAACCTGGTAGATTAAAGAGCCTAGCTTCATCAATACAGGACCAAAGCTTTGAGGGTCTGTCATCATACATATGGGATTATGGCATACAGAAACTTCAGAGAGGCGTTATGTGGATGCTGTTAAGTTTTAAGCTTTAGGCTGAGTTTAGGGCTTACGGGTGCTTTCTTATTGCAGTTTCTGCAGTATCCTGTTGTGAACCGCAGTCCCTGAGGTTTGCAATGGGCGTGCCTGCGCCATTCGATGGTACATCAGATTGTGAGACGCAATCTGTCCACATTGGTCTCTATTCAGCAGCTGTAAGGCTTTGCGAATGGACTTCAGCACGGGCTCCTCAAGGGGGTCCCTTTCAGTGATCTTGATCAGAACCTGGTTGTTTTGGGAAGATATGGGGCGTTCCTATTTCGCGACTTTCCTAGTCAAAGTGCAAAAAGACTCAGGGCAGAAACTGGAACGCGGCAATTGGCTGCTGCGCTCACTTTCTTAAAGCCCCAACCCCCCAATATCAAATTTGCTATCCATCTTTGAGACCCACATTACATGAACTGGGCACAGATGTGAAATGCGGGGTCACCAGGACTGAATGCTCCGCGAAGGGATAAACCCAAATACCTTGTACTTACTGTGCAGCATCATAGATTCAACTAGTTATTGAAGCCAATATTCTCTCTCAAATTCCATGCAAAGTGTGGATGTAGAATTTCATGATCTCAAGCCCCCAGTCAAGCAACAGGACTTTGAGACCTGGAAAGAAAGCTTGGCTTCTTCATGTTCTGTCTGCCGAATAAAAGCTCTGCGACCCTTCGCGAGGGTGTGTCCAAACCAGAAGTCAACCCCAGGCTTTGCAACATCAACTTTGCAACGCATACCCTGTTCAGCGTTCCCAGGCTTTGATATGTCAAAAGACGTGATTTTGGACACACACCCTGTGAGACCCGGTCCCCAAAAGGCTTTTGCCAAAAGTCGTTGCGCAGTTCACTTCTTGGACCTGCCGATGCATGGTTCAAGGTTCGGGGTTTAGAGTTTAAGGCTTCTTACCATGTACGGCTGCGGCCAGTACTTTTTCAGACCTAGGCCGCCACTAATCGACCTTGGTCCAGGGCGCTAGTAGAAGTAGTTTGGCAGCCCCCAGGCCTTAACCCAACGACAAGCCTCCGTCTGCTACTTAGCTCAAACCCTTGCAAAGATTTCTCTATCAGTTTTCAGGGGGCTTGGGGTCGAGGGCTTGGGGTTCAGGATCTCGGGGATTAGGCTTTACAGGATTCAGGGTCTTAAGTGTGTACCCTTCTAGTTACGTAACGCCGCGTTTAATCCATCGACAGTACTACTCCAGCCGTAGACTCAGACACCTTAAGCCCAACCAGCAGGATGTCAACTTTTTTTGCACCCTCAAATTGCAATGAAGTCTCGGCTTTAACTCCTCCGAATTCCCTCTTCTTGCTTGTTCTTCGCATGCTATACCTTTGGTTCAGATAGATTGGAGGGAAGCGGATGGTGCAAGCTTTTCCCGGTTGAAGCTTCAGGAAAGGTCGGTGAACCAAACATATTTCCAGTGCTTGTGGCTTCTTGCTTGAAACTGTTTCATGAAGTCTTCGACCCCTTGCCTGAGCTTAGAACGCTAGGTCTTAAGCCTGAAAATCCGAAGCCCTAAACGCTAAATGAGATTCAGAACTTTGTCTGGCGAGAGCTGGTAGCTGGCTTGTATACGGACATTTGCTTTGGGAAAGATCCCGTTCATGCTCATGAACTTCCGCGTGCAAGGCCCTGAGTCCAACAGTACGCTTCTCCGCCCATATGCCCCGAATAGCTGAACATTCATGATCGGGGGGGTGTTGCGGGTTAGTAACCGGGAGGACTCCTCAGTTCAAGATGCGGAGTTGCCATGGCTTCATGGTCTGAAGAACAGCTTGCAGGAGTAATGTAGGAGCCTGAAAACGGAACAGGAATAGAACTTTGGGGTACATGACTCTGTAACCTGACAAGGATTGTTTAGGAAGACTATTAGTACGTATTGGGGGTCGAGACCCAGAACGGCTCAAAATGCATGAGAGCCTCTTCTTGGGTGGCGGATCATCCGGTACAGCAGCAGCTTGCTGCAGCAGCGCCTGCATCAAAATCAACTGGAGATAAAGTTGAGTCTTCAGGATTAGCACTCATGGTCTAGGAATCTAGGGATCCAGGATTCAAGGCTAAGGGGTTTAGGCATTAGGGTGTCTGAATGCCCGTCATGACCCCTGCATCCCCGTAATCTGCTGTGGAGTGAATGAGTGAGTGAGTGAATGTGCCCCTTAAGCTCAAGCAGTACGCAAAACGAAGGGGGCGTTGAGGACATCCTCAAGATTAGGGGAGCCCATGCTGAGCATTGGGACCAACGGATCCGAGAAAGGTTCTGAATTTAAGGTCTGGCAAGGGATAAGCAAATTAAAAAAGAGTCCTTCCTGGGACAAGAATACAATTCACATGATATCCAAGATCTAACTTTGGGATATGATACTTTCTGTTAAGGGCCTCAGAAGTCTGACAGGATTCCTGCAATGCCGGGCTTGGGCTTTGAGGTGCTTCTGTCTCTTCAAATACAACACTATATCATGCATCTGTACTTGTTGCACGAAAGGCGCATGCAGGGCATTCCGCCAGACTTTCGGTGATGTTTCCGCCAGGTCTCGGAAGGTATGAGGACAACAGGGGCATGTGCCCCAACCGGCCCGGTCTTCTGGGATCTGGAAAGGGTCTGAGTAATCAAGCCCCCTGTTTGGTTGCAGTCGGATCTCGTGAGAAGATCCTACTTTTATGGTTACGTGAGCTGTGGTTAGAACTCCTCCTGTCGCTCCTGAACACATCCTATAGTATACGCCCTAAGGAGTCCTAAATCTACAGCCGATGTGCTTTCCACCTCGCGAAGTTTTGAGCATGACTCAGATCTAAACCCTGAACCCACTTGAACGGTGGAGCTCAGAGTTCTGGATGGCCCGCTGTTGACCCCGCACCCTCGGGCCCCTGGGGCAGGGGCCTAGTGTGAGTACTTTAGTAAGTGCAGAGGAGACACTTCTTCAAAACATAGCGAAAGAATTCGAGACCGAAGACGACTGGAGAAGAAACGGCTTGTCTGCTTCCGGCGATTCGGAGATGTCATCCGGGAAGGAGCTGTAGGAGACTTGGCACCTCCCTGCCATCTTGCTTCCATCCACAGACGCCTACAATGTAAGTTATCAGACTCTTGGGAGTTTGCAATAGCTCTTGGTAGCGGACGTTTTAGACAGCTCTGTTCAAAGTCTGCCGGGCTTCCGGTTCAAAGGGTGTAAGATTTATGGGATGTACGGGTTTGTCGATCCATGCTACATCGACCGCTCGGAATTGCAAGCATGCTGGATGTCTTACTTATTTAAAGACCACGTGTAATCATTCCCCCAAAAGCCCAATCCATCGCAAGATTTGAAGCAGTGCAGAGGCTCCAGCCTTACCCATGAAACCAAGTGCTAATGGCGCAAAACCGCCCTTGGTACAAGCAATTGTGTGCAAGCATAGGGCCGCAAATGAAACGACATGCCTTGATACCTCTTCAGGAAAAAGATTTAACGGTAGCTGTATCCATCATTTAGGCTAGAGTCAAGAGGCTGCGGTACTCATCCTTGGATCTCGTCAATTGAGCATCCAGGAACCGGCGACTAACTGCGGTAGAAACCAAAACAATGGCGAGTTATACTTCCTTATCTAGGCCCTTGTGTCAGAATACAGTGGTCATATGTTGGCTATCAAAGGCTTTAGCGATACGTTACAATGTTTACTTAAATCCAGTACCAGCCCCAGAAGATGTCAAAACTGCATTCAGACTGTTGCGGCGCTCATGTTCTGCCAACTGCCGAACTTGCTATAAAGATTGGCTGCTTCCTTGCCTCTAAGCATCTAACCTGTGGTGCGCGTAGGTGTAGTCATTCCTACCCTAGAGCTCTAGCTGCCAACGCGACCAATGCAAAAGCCCCGCGATCTCAAAAATGACTTGGAGGTCTACTCTAGTCACTACGCCTTAACCAGTAAGACCTTGCGCCCTGCAAGCTCAACAGCAAAATCTGCGCATCCGTTTATCTGAGGATTTCAATAAGCAAGAGTTAATAGCAATGTCAGGATTTTTTTGGGACATCCTACATTTACATCTGTCTAGGGATCTGAGCAAAAAGGACTCCATTGTTAATGACCCAAGCCAAAGTGTACACTACCCCAAGGCTTACCTGCTTTGATTTGGAAACGAGATCTTCAGCCAGGACGTATCCTCTTGCATCTCTGTGAGCTGCATTTCTCTGGGGGGTCTCAGATCTTCAACGAATCAAACTCTCAAGAAAACCAACCTTCTCACCTAACTAGTGTTTATTGTTTGGGGCTTGGAGTTTTGGGCTCGGGGTTTCAAATTCAGTTTGTCTGAGCTTTCACTCTGATCCACGTTTGGCCTCCTGCTTAGATACATACCTTTTGCCCAGGGTTATCTGCCATGTGATACGTTCAAAGGACGTGAGGGTTATGAGGGAGAGCCGGACAACTTCATGCATTCAGGTGAGGACGTTGTTCTCTTGCATCCCCTGAACCCAGAACAAACAATCCTGGGCAATACTTTCTTCAAGATCTTCAAAATGCGCCTGCATTAGCTTCGGATACTTCATGATCTGCGGACCTCAGCTGCCAAACGGTTCGTCATGAACATCTTGCACTAAATTATGAGCTGGGGCCGTCTTAGGAATGTTGCAGGAACTGCAAACCCATTCTCGAGAGCTGTAGGTATGAGGTCGATCTTTGGCCTTTGTACTATGATGCTGTTGGAACCAGGAATCAAGTGATAGTCCCTCTGGGATCTTGATGAACAAAAACAGAACCAGTTTTCTGAGTGGACTGCATCGAGACATTTTCAGACCCCACAAAATAAAACCCTGAATGAGGTGCGGGGAAAAGCCGGCCGAGGACCGGGTGATTGCTAAGCTTAGGAGCATGGGCCTCCACCTCAAGTACTAGGTAGAAAGTTGCAGAGACCCGAGCTGAGGTGGAAGATCTGTTTGCTAATGATGGCTGATGCCTGAAAGTTCGTTGGTCTGGAGAGTTTAGGGTTCAGGTGTAGTGTGAGACATTAAGGTTTGGAGTCTATGCGGATCTAATGGCTGAGGGCGCACCGAACCTATCCGGGGGTGTGTACGCATTTTTTGGACAGGTGTCAGCAAGTTCCAAACACAACCTACCTCTGGCCTGCATGACCTTACCTTTGGGCCCTGATTCTCAGAATAAGTTGACAAATGTTAAAGCAAGTCATGGAAGTTCTCCAGGAACAAAGAGATGAAATTGTCAGGGACTATACAGGGATATTCAAGCCTCTGCAAGAGTCTTTGTGCAAATGTGCACTTAGCAAGATCTGTAAAGTACGCCATGCTTTGCAGAAAAGTGCAAGAGGAAGAGCAACAGCTATGGTGGTCGGATTGCAACAAGACATTCAGAAGGAAGCGCAAGGGTTTAGGGCAACAAGAATACTGCAGATGGCATACTCAGGCCTCAATCTCTCAACCCCTGAAACTGGACATCCGGAAAACCCTAAGCCCCAAGCCCCAAACCTTGTCAAAACGAAACTTGTGCCAAGGGGAACTCGGCTCCCCACTGTTTGCCACTTCAGCCAGGGCCTTCTTGTTCCTGGCCCGAGCTTGTAGGGAAATTTGAGGGATTGGGACTGTACCGCTTTCCTGTCCGGGGGCCAACCTTATATACCTTCTATTTTCAGGATTACGGTAGTTTTGGGGGTCGCAAGTTCTGCAAAAACTCCACCTGCAGTTGTGGTTTACGATTGTGCTGTTGGGGTCAAGGAGAAGAATCAAAGATTTGCTTTTCAACTTTATGGTTGATAAAACCAAAGCTATGCTCTGCTTGGAATGCAGAAGCCCTTCAGAGAATGCAATCTCTCTGTGGGGACAGCTGCTGTTCTTGCCTACGGCAGTGGTGCCGGTTCAACATGTGAGGCTTCGGACTATAGTTTTCAGTGAATTCCTGATGCTTGGAGGTTTAAGTGTAGGTATACGCGGGCTTCCAAGTACGGAACCTCACAATTTTTCCGGTTCTCAGAGTTCTATGCCCTGAGAACCCTTCATCCCAACTCCTGAACGCAAACTTCTTAAGCCTCTGAATTGCCCGAACCCCACATCCCAAATCCACAAACCCTAGGCCCCAAACAGAAACCCTCGTCCTCCAAAACCCAGAGCCCAAAGCCCACAACTCCCTCAAGTTTGAAAAAGCGTGCCGGGCTGGCTGCGTGAGCCTGAGACGATTCGGCCCCATGGGAATGTTTCAGATTCGGGGTTTTGGGTGGGAGGGTTCAGGGTCCTTTGCCTGATGCTTCGGATTGACAGGGTGAAGGGTTTGGGTTTCGGAGTCACGGATTTGGCCTGCGGGTTTGGTGCTCTGCCAGTCTGGCAGAAAAGTGCTGCCTGTTGAGGTTCAGGCTTCATCAAACTGCAAGAGAACAGCTAAATCCCAAAAATGTAAACAGCAAAGATGCCACTGCATCGTTTGAGCAGTAAACATAATTTCCAGAACCAAAGCCACCATTAGTGGCCCTAGATCAAACGCCTCCGCTGTGTCCAGAGGTTCTTGGATGACTTCCTCAAGATCTGGAACTGGCCAATAGATTGCTAGCTTTTACCCCCCTAAAGCCCAAACCCACCAAAGCTTGGAGGCCCTACTTCGCCGTTTTGGCGTGGACTACGTAGGTGTACCTACCTGAAACCCGGAACGTCTTGAACTCCTTCTCCCTAAGCCGGTCCCTAGACCCTATGGCAGATCGAATTCTCTGAAGCTCTCAGAGGGCCTAGCTTTCAGGAGCTTCGATCCTATGGACACCTACCTGACTTTGTCCGTCCCCGTAAAAAGCTGCATGTCCTGACCCCTTCCCTTTGCAATCTAACACTCTCAAGACCAGGTCCTCCCATCTCTGCTGCAGGGTTTGCACATGTGGCCTGGTCACTGCAATATTGAAGCCCAAGTTTGAGCCCTAAAGGCGAACCCCCCTACGCCCAAATACAGTCTCTACCTCATGAAACGGCATTTGCTTACCCATAGTTTGTCCAGTCACTGCTCCAGAATCTTCTCTCCCAGCTGAGACAGCCCAAAGTCCTCACAGATCGTCAGCACCTGAGCTGTGAAGGCTTTGGCCAACCGACTAACCACAGTCATTGCAAAGAATATGTGAGTAGATAGAGATCATGAAGAGATTCAGAGTTTGAGCTATCGCGGCTCGAGGGTGTAAGGTCTGGCTCCAGGACTGTAATTCGGGCTTGGTGTTGGGCTAGGGTCGGAGTTTTAGCCCTGGAAGCTGTTAAATTCTTGCCCAACACCTCACAGGGCCCCAAGTACCGAGGACCGTGGCACAACAATCCCCTGATCCCTGAACCCACAGCCAGTAGGCCCTAAACCTGAAAGCTAGATTCTAATCCCAAACCTTGAGCCGAGCCCCTGTCTTATATGTTACCTCTAATCTCGCGAAACCCGAAGACAAACAATCGAAGATAGTTATGTTATGACAAGACAGCATGCAGAGACAGCACGAAAGAACATTGCAATAGCAACACAAATAGCAATCAGCACAAACTGATGGATGTTGGAACTACAAATCGCAAACGTATCCCTGGCAGGAAAAGTAATTCATGTCAACGGCAAAAGATTCACAGGCCTCAACGACGTTTCCCGTGGTGAGGTCCTTTGCCAGCCTGGGTACATTGTTGACAGTCTACAAAGATTTTGCAGGATGTTGAGGCTCATATGGGGTTTGCATTCTTTGCAGGGATGCGGTTCTATGACTTGTGCGGTATTGGGCAATCCCATAGGTAAAGCGGGCTTACTTAGGGTTGAGGGGTTTTGCATGATAGTGCTCGCCGGTTTTTTGTTGGATTGGTTTTGTGAGGATGCTGAAGAGGCAGGCTATTGGACTTCTCGTAGCTCCGCTGCATGCCCAGTTCCCTGAGAGAGTGTAGCCAAACGATTGGCCATTGCACGGAAAAGTTGCCCCGAAAATATAAATTTCGATTCCCAAGACGCTGACCACTGACTTTAGGAAACATTCAGACATCGCCAATCCGCTGCTGTAAGACTCAACTCAAAACATCTGCTTGCAGCAGCCTTCGCCTCCAATCCTCTCATGTGGCAGCCTGAACAATTACTCAGGTGAAATTCCCATCGTCATCATGCGGTGGTTTGCTTTGGGGTAGGCATATCAGATCCCCTCATTATACCAGCACCCAAACCAAAAAGCGCAACCACATCATGGTCCAATGTTTCAGGCCTCAGCAATCCTTGTTGAATTGGCATTCTTTTTCGTATTGAATTGGCATTCTTTTGTAACTTCATTCTACCTCCCACATCTTCGACTTGGGACCTCAAAGATAGCAGGCATCTATGACCATTAGACCTAAACCCTGATGCCTGAACCGCAGTTGTAAACCTTCAGCCCTTAACTCTATACCTGTCAAATCCCCAGACCCTACACTCAAACCCTGTCAAGCTCTAAGCCGAACAAGCCCCTAATCCCCACCTCGTGGAGGTAAGCAGACGTCTAACCCCTCCGAGCCATACCTTAATCCCAGTTATCCCCAGTATCATCCTAATTACTCTGACCCTCCAAGTGGATATCTTGACCAAGGATCCAATGCATGGCACGTTCCGTAAGACCGGGCCTTGCTGCAACCAGAGGCTTCTCTGGAAGACTAAAGAATATTTTGAGGTTCTGTGGAGCTTAGAAGGTTTACAGGGTCTGTGGGGTTTGTAGGGTGTAAAGGTTCAGGGTTTTTGGCCGTAGGGCTTGGCATTTAGGTTTTGGGGTGTGGGTTCTAGGTTTTAGGGTTTCGGTCTTGGGTGACACCCTCCCCTTGTTCGGCGGTGCCTTTTTTTTAATCTCGGATCCTGAGCAGACCAACGGGCACTTCAGAAAATGTCAGGCAGCCCTCGAGTGTGAAAGCCATTGCAGCATTCAAGAACAGTGCCAGGTAGGTAACCACATACGAGACCTAAATAACGCGCGCATAAGGGCAATAAGGTTACATGAGGTCTCTTCAGGCCTCCGACAAGTGCACACAAGGGCACCCACCTGCTAACTACTGACCTGGAACTCCCAACTCCCCACTTGGACTTGGGGTATTTGGGAGGTCTAGCTAGTCCTTGAAGCTCGTGCTGCGGTCAAACCTTTCGCAAAAGAGGTCCGTTTAAGCTAGCCGCGCAAAGGTCTGTTCAGCTTCCCATCCTGAACACACATCCGCCACCTCTTGACAAGACATATTCCCTGGAAAGTTTCAGCTGCAGCTAGAACGGTTAGCTCGGAGTTTGGGGCTAGGCTTTAGGCAAGAATCCGCAAATGCTCAACTTGATACCTTAAACCTGAAACTGCATCACTTGTGTCACCGAGCCCAAAATTCTTGAACGGCCAAAACTCTTAACCCCACTGACTCAACCCCAACTTGCAAAAGAATCCTACATTGCATTTTAACCCAAACCCCACTCCCTGACTCCAGAACTCTGAAGCCCCTTAGTTCTCGGTGAGTTGACAGCTTGGCCCCCTGCAAACGAAAAGTCTGCGCCAAACGCAACACATCCTTGTTTATCTCCTTGGAATGTGGAGTTGAGGTTTCAGGAAGGCTTAGGGCTAAGGATTTGGGGGTTCTCAAAAAAATCGGGTCCTTTGATGAGAGTTCCCATAAAAACGATTATCGTATAGTGCGGGTATTCATTGGGGTCCAAGTTATGTAAACCACGCTTTAGAGTTGGCATTTGAGGGTCTATAGGGTTTGGGGCTTAATTTTTGTGGGGCTGAGTGGGGTGTCGGGTTACGGGGCTTAGGTGGGGTTGAGGGTGTAGGGTCTGGGGTTTAAGGGGAAGGTGCGTAGGATGTAGAAGCTTAGGGGTCTACGGTGAAAGGGCGACGTGCAGAAATTTCTGTTTTCCGATGAACAAATTGAGCTTGTAGGGGTGTCTTTACCTTCCCAAAGGTCAGGTTTCACTAGTTTCCGGGTGTTTAGAGTTTATGCAGGAGGTTCCAAATGTTGCAAAATACCCGTGCATGGCAGCACAGCAGTTGGAGGGTGGGTTTTGGGGAGCTTCTCAGAACAGGGGTACCCTGAAGAATCCAAGGGATATATGATGATGGTTATGAGGCGATGATAGAGGCCACTGCGACTCCATAGCAGGCATTTTGAAGAATAGCATTAAGGATCATGTCGTGGAAGGGAAGAGCTGGCCATCTTGGGGTTTCGTGCGGGTCCCTTCCTTGTGCCGTGGGTGATTTTACCTTGAAACCCTGTCTTCATGGCAGCGTCCGTAGGCGCCTTATAACAAAAAGTCTTAACATGGGACGTTCTGTTTGAGAGCTCTTCTAGAGCATCGCCCCTTAATTGTGAATCCAAGCCTGTGTACAGCTTCGTCCCGCAGCGCACCCACCACTTCAACATCTCTTTGCGCTCATTGCTAGCAAACTTCTATCATGAGAGTACCAAAGCCTGACAATCATAACACCTCCTGAGCGCTTATCAGGTAGGTAGCTGCATCTATTTCCCCATGACCTTTACCCTGAGACGTGCTTTTTTGGGGTCCCGACTTGGGCACTTACCCAAGTCGAAGTGTCCTTCTTGAAGACATACGCAAGCCCGGACCCAACTAAGCCCTACCACTGCACAGCCGTGAACCTTCGGTCTCAAAGTACATGTACACTCTGAGCCTGAGCCTGAACCCAAGCCCTGAAGCCTAAACCGTGAAATGGTAGCGCCTGGGTCCTGGGATTGTAGTCTTCCCACCTGAGACTAAGCTCATCCTAAGGTTGGAAGAACTCGACTGGGTCCCGGCCTTGTTAGGGTTTAGGATTTGGGTTGTAATGTCTAGGATTCGGAGTTGAGGCGTAGGGCTTAGCAACTTGGAATTGGAGCTCAAGTGGCTTCTGAACTAAGTGGCTTCTGAACTCAGCGGCAGGGGCCCATTTTAAAAACAGGCATAGATGCATATCTGTTTCGTTTCTGAAATGTATGCATAGAAAATCTGCATATGTGGCTGTTGGTGTCGGGCGCCATTCAGACTGTAGCACATGTTCCAGATCTATTGTTACTTGGATGCTTGGACTCCCTGGGACAGACCACCTGCTGATTAAGCCAAGCTGCAGAGCAGCTTTAAAATGAAGTATTCTGAACAGCAGAGCAAATAAACAACAGCAAGTTTAATGCATACTTCGACCTCCGATACCAACAGACTGCACAAGCAATGTCAAACCGGTGAGTTCTGTGTTGCCGTACGTATGGGTGGTGCATCTCCTGTGTATCAGTTCAGGAAGGCAGTGGGCATCTGGAGGCTGGTAAAGGTTTTGTGGGGCTTAGAATTATCAACAGCGGGGCTTTGGTGACCCCAGCCCCCCAAATAAGGACCCTCGAAAAGTGATATGATAGTCATAGGGTCCTTATTCTGGGGGGCGCGATGTTACGTGGAGGGTCAGAAGCTCAAATCCAAATTCTGAACTCCAAAGCCCACGACCCCGGACGGGAAACGTGGAGGTTTGGTAATGCTTGGGTTGATCTTGCGGCCACGGACCCCCAATGCATTCAAAGGGAAGAAGCTGGGCTGTATTGTGGCTTGAAATGAGAATTCCGAATGCGTGTTTGAAGGCTTTAGGCATCCAAGGGTTGTAGGAATTCATGCCTGCAATGAGGCCAGAAATTCCTTGGTCCCACTCCCGCCTGCAGTAAATAAAGTGCCCGTAAGATCCAGGGTTGCCAACCAATTCTTGGGGGGAGGCTTTATGCTGGCATTGTTGGCTCCCCAGCTCCACAAACTTAATCGAAGGCTGGCGACCAAGCTTAGGAGGTTGAAAGCAGGGGGCCCAGAACCCTGTAGCCTTGGATTGCTTGTCTGACACGGTCATCTCCCTGTATGTAGCTCAAGGCCACTGGAAAACTCGGGTACCTTGTTAAGCGGGAATTAGCAATCCTTTTCGAAAGGAAAAATCTGCTATTTCGCACCCTTTGGGGTCTCCACATTTTTGGACGCCTTGTGAATAAACATCCCCCAACCCCTAGTTTATAACACGTCTCTCTTGTAGCCCATATTTATTGATGCATAGACAAATACATGTACAAACAGGTGGCAGAAGTGCACGTTATGCCTCGGAGGTGAATAATGCAGCCTATCGTCTGAGATTTCGGCACCGCAGAGTCAGTCTGGTACATGTAGTCTAGCATGAACTTCACAGCCTGGAGAGCACCAGGGTGTGAAGTTACCCTCCCCCAGACTTATAACATGAAACTCCGAAAAGGCACTGTTTAGACGGATCAAACCCTTGACACACAGCCTCGAAAACTCTGGTGGAGCGGCTGGGGTTTTCATTGACATGCTGAGCCAATTCTGCTGAGCCGTCTGGTAATGGGAAGAGAGCCCTTCTAGTTCAAAAAGCTGCCAAACTCTTAGACTCTAATGCTATTCAGTCTGAGCTTACTCTTAAACGCCAGAAGGCTTCTAGGCAAGAACTGGCCGTAAGACCCTCAACCATAAACTCTGGGCGCTACACACTACATGCCCCGACACTCTTAATCCCACTTTCGAAGCCAGAAAGCAGCCACTTTATCTCTAACCTGGAGGCTACAGCTCCAGACTGGTTCCTAACTTGTGGATCTGATAATCTTTATTGGGATTCGATACAAGAAATACGCATAGAAAGCATATCCAAGAATGACCCAGTACAATTTGGGGCATTGAGATTCAGGGGGTGTCAGGTTTCTTAGGTTAGAGGTGGTTTCAAGGAGCCTTGGACAGTCTATAGTGTGCAAGATCTTTAGGATCAAGCACGTTGGGTTCAGGACTTTAGGATTTTCAAGCTTTATGGCTTGAGGATTTGGTGCATTGGGCTTGGATGTCTGCTTTCATGGGTTAAGGTTTGTAGCGTTTAGGTAGTAGGTTAAGGACTGGAAAGGGTAAGCGGTGCAGGGGTTTTGGCATTAAGGTCTATGGCATTAAGGTTTATGGCTTTGAGACTCTTAATGGTCTAGGCTTTTACGGCTAAGGGCACTGCGTGCCTCGCATAAACAGGCGTCGTTTCTCCTCCAGGCGTACCGCTTCTCCAGCCTGAGCCCTACTCGGATTAGGGTTTGCGGTTGAGGCCCCTAAATCAAAAATGCGAAGCCGTCAATCCTGACATCAAGCAACCTTATTCTTGCAAGCTCTCTTCATAACACCACCAAAAGGAAACCATGCTTCCAAACCTTGACTCCGAAACATAAAGCCTATGGTCCCTCAGGTCTCGATGCCTCAAGTCCTATAGCTTCACCCAAAGACATCAACCCTTAACCCACTCGCCTCCGGGTTTGAGATCTCAGCCAGGCGAATCTCTTGCCTGCCGCAGCAGAGGAGGTGCAACTTTGGGATACCAGAAGGGGGTTACAGGAATTCGGGGTATAGATCGTTATGCAAATTGCCAGGAACCTTGAGGGATCATGAGGATACAGTCCCCTGGGACTGAGAGGGATTTTGGTGTGGCTGGTGTGTGGGACTGCATGCTAAGGCTGTGAAAAACAGATTTCACGCTTTTACGTTGTGATAAGGACCTACAAATCTAAGCCCTGATGAAGGAATTGCCTCTCTAGATAGAGATGGTTGTCAAGACCGTGCCCTTTCGGTGACAAGGTAGGCGCGAAAGCCCGAATTCCCTGAATCCACAGCCCATGCACAGGTCTCCTTAACTATTGCCAGCTGGCCAACAAAGGCTGTGTCCAATTGCAGGTCTACATATGACTCCGGCGCACATCCCAAAGTCGCCCTCCCCCAAAAACATGGAACCCATGCGAGGGTGTTTTCTTTCCTTGTTGCACGAAGTAGAAAAACAGGTTTTTATAACGTACTATAAACAGGGGACTAGGAGTATCCCTATTCAGCAGTCTTCTCATGCAGGCCCCTTTTAGTGGACCATGGTCCTCATAGGATCCCTACTAGGGTTCCTTCTAAGGGAAGATCCTTCCTTTAGCGCGATGAGGTAGATGATGAGCGCTTATGGGACGGGGGGCTAGTTTAGACCATGCTAATCCCTAAACCCACGCGACACTCCTTGACCTCAAGCCGGCCCTGCAAAAAATGCAAGACATGGCCTTCCATCGATTGTTTCTTTAGACACGCTCGCCAGGCCCGTTTTGAAGACCTGGCGTCAGGTTTATGGTTTCGGTTTTGCTTCTGACGGTTTACCCAGAAATAGGTCTCAAGGCTTAGGGTTGATGGTGTTCATGAGGCTTCCGGATCTGATAGATCCCACAAGACAAATGCACTTTGAGTTGCTACAGTCAAGGTGGAATGTCTATTCCTCATTCATGTAAGGTTTCGGGTAGAGGGCCAGTTTGTTTTGCGCCTCAAAAAGCGCGTTCAACAAGCATCCCTACCACTACCAGTTCTCGCAACAGATCCCAGCACTATCACCATACACAAGGACAACAATCAAACAAACGACTCAGGTATGACGAGGGTCTCTCCAAGCCACCAAGCCTAAATCCCCAAAGATTTAACTCCATTAAGATCTTGAAGAATTCGTTGTGACAATTTTGTTGTCTTGACTGCCCTCCTCAAGACTAACAGGCTAACACGGAAGCTAGGAGGAAGCCAGGAGAGGACCCTACAATCAGAGTTGACGATTGCGAGCCTGTGTAGGGTCTTGGGGGGGCAGTTTTCAAAAAAGGAAGCTTGTTCTTTCGCCGGAAATCTAGAGGGATGCAAAGGGCAAATTAATATTCAAGCGAATACTTCTGTACCAGAAATTATCAGAAACTCCCTTGTAAGTGGCAGTTCATCCCAAATCATAAATACTATATCCCCACAGAGAAAGGCTTTAGCACCAGTACCCTACACTGAACCACCTAAAACCCCTAAACTCTGACCCCATGCAGTCATCAAACCGCAGACCCCTACGCCCAAACCCCTCAGCCCGAAACCTAAAAGCCTAGACCATCCAATACCAAGCCTGAATTGGCCCCAGCATCTGCCTCGCTCTCCGCTGCGAGAACTATCCGGTGTGCGTAGAAAGTTCGGTCAGCACAAACCTGCCATGGGACTGTTCTATGATGTCGGGGTTTAAGGTTTTTAAAGGTCAGGGTTTGAGGCTTTGGATCTAGATTTCAAGGCTGAGAGTGCGGCGTTTTGCTCAAGCTCTGGGAGCCTATAGGGATATCGCGTAGGGTATAGCTCTAAGTAGCATCACGGTGCTCCAATGAAGGGCCCGATACCTCCACTGCTAGGTATTGGGTGCCGAATTTCTTTCTGGGAAGTTCTACAGATGCAGGTATTAAACCCTGCAGACCTGTCTGCTTGGGAACCGGATTTGGGCTTCCAGATTTAGCTGCCCAATGTTTCTGGAAGTATGCCCTTCTTGCCTACACCTGATTGAAGACATAAACTCAAAGCTGATTTACAGCTAGTCTGGGTTTCCACTTAGAAGATGCAAAAGCAAAAGCATGGGTGCTGCTAGGCTCAGATTCCTGGTTGGAGGTTTGGGTTCTTAGGTCTCAGGCTTTTCGAGGTTTTAGGTGTTGGGGCTGCGGGTTTCACTCAAGCTTAGGGTTTTAGGTTTAAGGCTCAGGGTTCCTAGAACATTGTTTCCATCATTCCAGTACTATAAAGCCATAATCCCGATCATGAGATATGGCTTCCTCAAAATGGGACGCCCCTAAGTTAAGAACCCTGCCGGTAAAGGTTGCTCAGGAGCAAATCAAAGCCACCATGCCAACCAAACAGTCCTGTGGGACACTTCTGCAGGATCCGTTCTTCGTATCTCATCACTTGCTGGTGCTTGGGCATGAATCCAGGCTGAACCCCTGAACTATCTCCATCTGTGTTTCTTTAAAAAAGCGGCACATGCTTGGGCTGGGGAGCCTGAGCGCAAAGGGGGTTGCAAGGAAATTAGTCATGGGGGCTCCCCTTCATGGACCAGTTTGGATTGATTCTGAGGCATCCCCTGTTCACTTTCCTTTTAAGCACTTTTACGTTTAGGGTCTTCAAGCAGAGGCGGGCATTTTCCGACCCGGAGCATAAGAATCTGGACCCATGGAAGGATCTACAACACAGATCCACGTTAAGGGCGCCTACAGTCTCCACAGGCATAAGATATAGCATGTTTCAGGGCTGCCTAGATCCTCCCACGGGTCGGGTGGGGATGGCACTCCGCTTCCTCATCAACAGAGAGCCGTGTGCCAACAGCTGGCTAGAAATGTGACTCATCTTTGAAGCAGCCCTCCAAACACCATGCCAAAGAGGGACACATAATGCGAAGCATCCTGAACAAAGTCATCAAATAAATGCTCCAAGGCGAGAACCCCTGCATCCTTGAAACCCTAGATACCCCTCTATGAACAGCTCTCTAAAGCACTGCATTGTGCTCACTGTTGACAAGCCATAAATCTCCAAAGCCGCACTCTGCTCCTACCATGCGCAACCTCGATGTGACACAGTGCACCACAAAACGTCCTGTATAATGCTTTCCATGACAACCCATGCTACCTCCAGGGGAGGGTCACTTATCCTGGAACCGCTTGAAAACTGCAGGTTTCCTGACTTTGAACTAGTAAGCTGGGCATTACCCCAAACGGTGATGAAGGGCATCAACTTGCCGCCGCTACATACAAGAGACCGGAAACATCCAGGTTACAGGGCTTTAGGGATTCATGGTTCAAGGGTGGGGCTTGGGTTTAAGAAAGGCCTTGAACAGTCCAGGCATGTTTTCAAGCCTGTGATATGTGGCATCAAGCATTCGATTGGGTTGTTGCCTATGTGCAAGGGGAAATGGCTGGTAATTCTGGTGCTTTGCTATAGTTCCCTAGAACCCTATGACATAGATCTGAACCGTAGAAACACTAAACTCTGACCCTTTGCAGAACTGGAAATACAGTCCAACCTGCGCAGAATCTTGGGATACCGTCATGTGGGAGTTTCTAAGATTAAGCTCTATACTGCAATCCCTCAGTGGGACCCGTGTTATCACATATCACAACCCCATATCAAGTAGAACCCAGTAACATTATCCTGAAATTAGAACACATATGAAAGCTATCCTTCCGTAATGCTTTTTAGTACTGGTGATTTCTCTATATTAATCGCTAGTACTATAATCTCTATACTAGTACCATACTACCATAAATCTCTATGCATCCAGGTGCGGCTCAGCTCCAGGAAAGCCATGTAAGGGCTGGGCTGCTGTCAAGGAGCATAGGCTAACGGTGGGCTTAGGCTTTGGGGCTTTGGGGATTCGGGTTGAGTGATGTCATCCCCGGAAACGGAGCATCAACTGGAAAAGAAAGTGTACAACGCAGTGGAACTGCGGTAACATTCGGGACCCATAGCATGTTCACTTGATTTGGGTTTCTTAACGGCAACCCAGTACAATTAAGGCCCTGGAGCTGTTCGCACCCCTTAACCTTAAGCCGAAACCCAAGTGGGGGCCTACTCCATGTCACTAGGAGTCTAGATGGGGTACATCAAGCTATACAGATAGAAGGACTACAGCGGAAAGACGTTCATAATTGTCCAAGTTCCTACATTCACCCTAACTCCAGCTCCACAAGGGAAACGGGTCTCAGCTTCTCGACCAGCACGCGGTCGCTTCGCCGTGACCGTTCATCAGCTGGGCAGTCCTGCATGTAGGTTTTGCGGCCGAAAGTTTCAAAGGTTTAGGGTTTGAGGGTTCTATGGGAATTTGGGGTTAAGGGGTGAGAGTTTCGGCGATCAGGATCACGAGTTCATCGTTTTGGGCAACTACAACATACCTGAATTGAACAGGAAATCTTTCCAATTCCAGAGGGGGAAGATTGCCGAATGCAGAGGCAGAATAACAGCAGCCCAATTGTTCAGGCATCTCCACCTGCCTTGTACTATTTCATAATCCAAAAGTTGGTAGCACCGCAACAATGGCGACGGCACTACTGGTAAGCACATCCTGCAGAACTTTCAGTAGACTGAACCATGGCCTCACGGAGGAGTCCGGCCATCAACAGCAGTACTTCAGACACAACAACATCTAGAGTGCGCGTCATAATTGGCATGAGAGTGCGAGTCATGGCAAAAGGAAAGGTTAGAATACAGGATTTGTGACAACCTGGGCAGCGTAGAAACCTTGAAGCTTGTGACCCTACGGCACCAAGCTGCAAGCCCCAAATGCGAGTACTGCTACTGCGCAACATCCGCCTCATTATGCAATGCTGCAACGTACAAAATGACCCCCCAAAAGCCCTTTACGGTGCAATCACAACATCTGGTTTCGTATTGTTTGCATTGAAAACATGAAGGGCTCTCCTAGTTTCTTACGCTTCCAGCTTGTACAATGTATACACCCAAAGGAATTTGTATATGCTGAATGGTCGAACTTCCATGCAGCAATGCCCTTGGTTTGAATGAGGTTCAGGGCCCGACCTCGCCCAAGGCCAACGTCTCGGCATGCCTGTCCACGGCAGCGTGATAGAGGTCCCGCCATGCCTGGAAGTCCTGCAAATTTCAAAGTTTGGGACGCAGGGTCCGCAGGGTTTAGGATTTGAAAGGCAAGGTTACTGGTTTCAGGTACCAGGTAGGATTGGTAGGGTTCAGGGTTCCGGAAGGCGGGTTAACCCAGGTTTGGTTTCCACAGGGTTTAAGGACTGAACAGATGGCTGAAAACATGGCGGCTACGTTGCCGACTATGTTTTAATCTTGTTTTGCATTCAAGAGAGAAAGATCCTTTGCGCAGCCATGTAAGGAAGCCCAAACCACAAAGTACAACGAGCCCCTAGCATTCATCCAAGGAAGGAGACACGGCCAGGCGCAACCGCTAAATAATTCTGAGCTCAGGATCCACATGCATGAGCCGAACACCCTGAAATCCAAACCTTAAGTCCTCAAATCATGTACCCCACCCCCTGAACCCTGCACCCAAAACTCAAGCCCTGAATCCTAAACCTCGAGTGCGTCGGTTGCTCTTAAGGTGCCTGCAGTTGCATGGGTAGCTATAAGCGGAGCTATAACAAGTTGGTCTCCGGTGTCGTTTCTTTTTTGCTTTCATGATTCGGGTAAATGTCCCAACAGTAGCTAACCATGGTTCTTCAAGAAGGGTTTGTGGTTTTCGGGTTTTCAAAATATATGCAAGGAGGGACCCTTGTACTTTCCTTATCGTTCCTGTATACCCGTGTTCTGCTCTAGTCCTCGATCCCGAAGACCATGGGCTCAAACCCGTAGGATAGGTACCTTGCAGTCTACTTGCTGGCGCTTAAGGGGGAGTGGGACAACAATCCAGATATGGTCATGTAATGTTGTACCTGTATCCACTTCGACACTCTCCCTTGAGCACCGGTCAGTTCTGTAGGATGTGTGGGCTGAATGCTGTGGGGTTTAAGGCTGAGGGGTTTGGGGTTCCGGGCTTGGCTTTTGGGTTTGGGGTCAGTAGGGTTAATGTGGTTTAGGGTCCAGAGTTTGGGGTTAGGGTTCTGCTGGGTTGACAGAACGAGGCTTGCAGTTTTTGGGTTGCAGTTTTCCGATGCAGGCTTATAACGAGAGCAGACAATGGACCTGGAAACTTTGAAAATTGCAGGTTCTGTTTTGGGGTCCTTGATATGGACAAGGCGTAGACATCGAAGTAATGCCGGAATGTACAACATCTGTTTTCTTTCTGGAGGTTGACCGAGCATCAGGAAACAACGATGCAAACAAGAATTTACAGGCAACAAGCCTCTCAAGCAAGGAAAGGGCAACTCGCTTGGTGTCAAGAAGCTCACATTTGGTTACCAATGCGCAGAGATTTAGTATCTACTATACAGCCATACAGTGGTATTCTAGCTTTTCTAGCCATACCATGGTGTTGTAGTTCAAGTTCCTCAGCAAACATCCCAGCAAACGAACCTTTGCCCCAAGCTGAGCGTGCCAGTGCGCAATTTTTCGTACTTTCCAAAATCACACATGCAGGAATCCTTCTTTGCAAGAACCGAAACCATCATGTATAAGTTTTCCGTCATACAAACTTTCCACATTTCCTGAACCTTTGGTCTTAGACCTCAGGCCCTAAGCCCTAGACCAAACGGAAGTAGCG